AACCGGAATAGGGTTGTTAATATATTTTTTAATGTAAAATAATTCTAAATAAATCAACAATCTCAAGATTTATAAAAAATTTGTCTTCAAAAAATACGTTCTAAAGCATCCCTGTTGATACCATAGTTCAAATTAGAATAGACATTTTGATGCAAACGATTTTCCGCGATATTCATCACACAAATTTATCATCTTACTTGTCCGTATGTCGCTCTGGAAAGAAATATATTTTAATTTATATGTTTTCTTAAAAATAAATGCAAATTTACCTAATTTTTCCACCGGCAGGCACGAAAATGGTATTCAAAACAGAAACAATGGCAACGTATTTTACACACTTTGTTGTATTTAAGCGCAAAACGATAAGTATCACAAATATTTTAAATTATTGCATGGAGCATACACATTTATCGTTATTATTCGAAATGCAAAACTTGGCATGCATTTTTAATTTCTTATTTAATCAATTCAAATTAATAAAAACACATTTTTCTAAAATATTTCTCAATTTACATTTTACAGTTTTTTCTGAAACTTGAATGTAACTGTGTGGAGAATGAGAGAATAAGAAATCAGGTGATCTCAGAATGTAAACAAACAAAGTGGCACTTTCCATACTCGTCAGCTTATACAATGGTTATTACGATGTATAACATTTTCTTTAATTTTCATTTACCNCGTCAGCTTATACAATGGTTATTACGATGTATAACATTTTCTTTAATTTTATTATTAATAGATATTTGTGAATTCATCATACAATTTGTTTACAATTTTAATTTGAGAAATAATGTCAAATATAGAATTTTCTGTGTGAAATACCATGGTGTAATAATAACAAGGTGTTGTCAGTAACTTAACCTCACTCTTTCGGCAGGTCTATTCCGGCCACGCATTTTAAAGTACTAGAAAAGGTACTAATTATTTACTACTTTTAATCCGTTGCACAGTGGCCAATTTTTGGAAAACCCTGGCCAAAAGTCCAAAATAAAATTGCATAAACATCTTATATTGTTAGGAGGGCTCTACTGCGTATCGTTATGAGACAACAAGTAGATTCTCTTAAGGCATTTAGTGTTACAGGAGATCGAAGTAACTGTTGCTAGCAATTCGCTCTAAACTTTTCGTAAATTAAGAGTTTTCGTCGTTGTTAAAATCGTGGTATTATCTTTAAAAAAATNAAAAAATAACAGTTTTCAAGCATCCGCTCATGGACATTGTAATCTAGAGTATGTAAAACATGTTTTTTCATTGTCACGCCATCTAAAAAACTGACGTAAGACATAGATATTCAAGGATTGATTTTTTTTGTTTACTCATTGCAGGGTTCGTATTTGCACACACATGCTCTGCTCACACACACGCCAGAAACACATTCAACTTGCACTCCCCAGCAAACATTTGGAGTCATAAATGAGTCTTTAAGGAGTCCTATTTCGGAGCCATTACGCTCATAATGAGCTCATTTAAGAGTCCGATATGAGGGTGTATCCCTTCCTCCGAATGTCGACTTATAGGAGCTTAAATTCATATATCAAATGAGCCTCAATATGAGCCATATTGGATTCTTATTGGCCTCATATACGGCTCATTTTGGACTCTTTTAAAACAATTTTTGGCCTCATATAGGAATCATTTCAGACTCTTTTTAAGACTTACCGGCCTCATAAATTACTACAATCGGACTCTTATTTTACGTTATTCTTTGAGTCTTAACTCACTATATTTCCAAAGGCATTCAGCAAAAATACCTTTCAAATAACATACATACATACTTACGTGCATATACACATTCCAACATGCATTCAATAGCAGCAGCTGCAGCTAAATTTTGTTCATTTTTTGTTTTCTAATTATTTTCAATTTCTGTATGAACAACTTTAGATATAAATTTCAAATCTTTATTGTTTTTATATTCGCACAAGGTGCTGGCTGATAACTTGGATCATATATGAATCCTAAAAGATTCATATAAGAGTAAACAATTTTTTGTTTTTGAAACTCATATTTCTTACCCACCTAGGACTCCTTTCGGACTCATATATTCTGAACGCTCAGAATATGTTTGCGGGGTCACTGCTCATACACATGTGTGTTCATAAGTGGAAAACAAACTCTACTCACAGAAAAGTGTGTGCTGTTTGTTATTAAGCACATGCACATGTGTGTGAGCCCATTTTTGTACAAATTTCAGCCCATGCACATGCACATAATATATTCTTAAAAGAATTTGTTTATTAAACGTTATTTTTTGAAAGACAACTCAATAAAAAGTGAGATGTTGTTTGTTTTTTATATGACAGAAAACATATAAAAAAATTATTTTAAGATTTGAGTTAGAATTCGAAGTGTATAAGTTTCTCTACGCATAGCACACACATGTGCGTGTGCTTTACATTAATAAAAAGAAAGTACACACATGTGCCCGTGCTTTTTACCAAACGGCGCACACATGTAATGTGAGCAAATTTTTAATTTTTTATACGCGATTCTTAATTTTTTTGTTTAAAAGATTTAAATTATGNCACATGTGTGTGCAAATACGAACCCTGACTCATTGTGATGGACTAGGAAAATAGTTACGAGAGTGGTAGAGATGGGCGGTCTAATTTTCTTTTTCATATATATTGAAGTTTTTCCCATCCACCTTGGTTAAAAACACCTGCCACAAGCCGCCACTGTAGTTTGGACATCAGTTTTTATACGCGATTCTTAATTTTTTTGTTTAAAAGATTTAAATTATGAAAAAAATATTTCTGTCAAGATTTTGATGTTTTAAAGATTGGATGTTTTACTAGTAGTACTATATATTAGAGTGCTCATCTATGGGCCTCTTATTATTGAATGGGCACCCCTGCCAATTGGGTAACTTTCCGAAGAAACCCAAGAGTCAAGGAATAAGGACATTAAACAATATCGGCTGCTTGTATCCTCGGCCCCTGTCATTTCAAGTTTACGTTTAAACCCACCAAAACAAAATCATAAACTGTCGTCAGATGCCATTAAATTACTATCAACTGTTGTAAAATGCGGATGCGGAATTGGATATGGATACGAGCACGACATCCGCGTAGCCAGAATGAAATTTAGGTGGGAGGAGAGGGCTCGACCTTATTAAGCTGGCATTTCAGGGTTATATATATAAGGAATATTTGAAAGTTAGGGGGGGAGGTCGAGCACCCCCCTGCCCCTACCTGGCTACGCCCATGAGCTTGGATACTTGAGATGTCTGCGAGTCTGACGGTGTATAAAATTGTTATCTTAAAAATATATTCCTGTACCAACAAATATGTATGTCTTGTTTATTGATTCATTCAAAATCCCGCAGTTCCCGTGTAAATTGAACATCAAGATTTTTAGAAACAAACATTAAGACCTCGTTAGTGTTTGTCCGAGCTTCTCTTCCGACTTGTGGATTGCGCCTTGATGTTGGCGCACAAAGCGGTGGGACCAACAGTTTTTCGCCAAATCCGAACGGGGATTTTATTTTTATGAGAAGCTGTTCTTCGTGACTGAATACACCTGGGGGTTTGCCATTGCCTTACAAAAGGCGACTTTATTACAAAAAACTTGTTTGTTTCTTATTTTTTAATGTTGGTCGGAAACTGGGCTTGAACCCAGGCCCTGCGGAATGATAGCGTATATTGCTAACCGCTACATCACATTATAAAACAAAAAAGCCGAAAACATGACCTTTTTTACTTAACTACCTTAGTTTTGTTAAAAATCTGATTATTTTAAGCGAACACAGCAGCCATTATGGATCCGCCATTTTGAATTTCGAAATTATGTGGTGAAATTTAAAACCAGCAACCAAAATAAAGACGAATACACAAGGTTTGATTACAATTGTATCACGCTTTGACTTTTGGACAGCTTTTTCGAAAAATTGGCCACTGTGCGTTGGTGCATACTATTTCAAATTAAATGTAGAAAAATGTATAATGTATAATGGCTTATAAACTTGAATATATGTTTGAATTGCTCCACACAGCTTGCATATATATTGTAACTTTAAAAAAGTAAAATGAGACAATTTCCTATAAGACTGTAAATGATTTTCTAAATAGATTAAAACACATAAATATCGATAATATAAGCGAGTTCCTAATTTAACCATGCAGCCACTCTATTCTAGTGTATCAGTAGTTCATTTGGCTCAATATTATGACAATGCAGCATAAGTTATTTAATATAAAAAATCGCCTTTCCATACGATTTTTGTGTACGTTTTTTTTCATTGATAACCACGATATCTTTTATTTTTCTACTTTTTGAGGACAAAAGTTATATAACCCAGCAATTTTAAATATTAGTATTGTTCTGAAAACACCAAGTTCTTTAAAAATCACGATAAAACGAATTATTAAAATGGAGTATTTTAGATACTATTTCCCAACGAATAGTAGTATAAAAATTAAGATCGGCAGCACTGAAAATAAGCATGCCGATCTTGTCAAAATCACAACAAACACGTCGCTACTGACAACACCTTGTTAATATTCCACCATGTGAAATACATTCAAATTAGGTTTAAAATAGCCCTTGGTCGGGTAAAACCTGAGTCATTCCGATACGTAGAATCGGCTGTCGTGGGAATGGTCGCTTTTTCTGGTAACATATGGACAAAAAAATCTGCCTATGTGAGGCTTTTACTAGCCCAGCCAGTTTTCTACCTAACCTGATTTACCTTTTCTAATTCTACTTAACAGCAGGTTTTTGAAAGCCATCATAGGTGAATTGCAGTAAGGTGCATTGNTATGGACAAAAAAATCTGCCTATGTGAGGCTTTTACTAGCCCAGCCAGTTCTACCTAACCTGATTTACCTTTTCTAATTCTACTTAACAGCAGGTTTTTGAAAGCCATCATAGGTGAATTGCAGTAAGGTGCATTGTCAGTAAGACTAAAATGCCTTGCCTGGAAAAACCGGAGATTTCTTCATTTGTGTTCCGTAATTAAACTGCTTTTATAAACGAGTTAGTCTTAAATTTAAACAACCTTTTAGTAACTTCTTGGTAAAGGTTTATTAAAAACGCATCAAAAATAGTATAATTCTTTATTTTTGAATTCGGTTGGATTTATATAACCACATAACATGTGATTATGTACAAACACATGCATGTTATATGTACATACATACATAAGTATTTATTACCGGAGACAAATGGAGGGTCTGGTATGCATGTCTGCAAATTGACCATGTAAATATAATGCTAAGTAAAGATTCCCTTCATTGACTATTAATGTATTCGCGAGTATTTGTTTAAATGCAACCATAGTCATAAAAATTATGCGCCAACGTTTTTATGGGCACGTTGATATTTTTTCATCCCAGTTTAAGCTGCATAATGAAGAAATATTTTGAAAGTCTGTTATTTTCTAAGCCCATAAAACCTAAAGTAATATACTGTATTTAATATTTAGAACCTCTTTACTTGATTTTCATAATTATTCTTCATACAATAAACTTTTAATTACATAAATCGATTTTGAGTAATTAAAAATGGATGGCCTACTGATGTCAAATACTACATAAGTATGTAGTGAATTTTTCCAAAAGCGAAAAATGTAAAAATACAATATTTTGAAGTACTACTTATTTAGTATTACTAAAAAAACTTTAAAACATTAAAAGCTAATGAATAAGGGCCTACATTGTACATGGATTCATTTATATATAAATATGTACACAACTATGTTGAATGAGCCATCAGCAACCTAAAATGATACGCTCTAAAATCAGGAGTTTCTCATAAACCTTCAATCAACAATTGGAAATGTTAACTACATTTACATATGTATATACAAAGCGCAATCACAACGAGAATATTTGGTACTTAATACCGTTATGAATGCACATATTATCTATTAAAGCAAAAGTTGTTTGAGTGATATACATTTCTATTTTAAACTTAATAAAAATTTAAATTTTACAAAGAGGCACTTTTTTAATACACGGGTTCGCTATTAGTATATCTAAAAAATAGTTTCCCCTAATTTTTCAGCCTAGACATGCATATATGTACATACATACATACACGTATATTTATAGAACACGTTGTATGTATGTATGTGTATAGAGATACTAGAGACATTTGTATAAATTATGTACTTTTACTTAGTACTAAAGTTAAAATCCAATGAAATTATCCAACGGTGTAGCGACATAGTGGGTAGCGGTGCGAATTCATGTATCAAAGCGCTCTCTGATTTTCGGTGCTATTGAGGCAGTAATAATGCTGTAGCTTCTATGTGCTGCTTTCGCCTGCCGTAGGGCTTGATGTATACATTTTCACAATGTCATTTATAGCACTCATAGATCCAAAAATGAGTGCTGCAATACCGCAAAATCCAATCACGACATTCTTCCAGAGGATCCAGTTAAATGGGCCGAAGCCGGTGTCCCAATGGGTGATTAGCTCGATCAGCACCTGAAATGGATATTTATATAAATCATGTGAATATCTCCCATTATAATTTTTAATGATAAAGCAATCGCTTGCTAAAGAAGTTAAAATATACTTACAGGGAATATAAGTCCAAGTATGGAAAAGCAGAAGGCACCAATTAGTCCCATGAATGGAGCGATGGTTGGCACTGAAACGGCCAACACAACGGCGGCAGTGACGAGTACGGTTCTGTAATTGAATATAAAGATATAGGTCAAGGTCATATGCTGTTTTAAATTTGTTTCAATATAATAACCAAACCTAGTTATTCAAAACACACCTTAATACATAATTTACAAATACTGGTCGCTTCGTGCATTTATCTTTGATACCATCCCAGACAATTTCAAGGCATACATAGAACTGTAGACCGAATGTGCAGTACACGGCCAAAGCGATCAACACCTTGACAGCTTGCGCAGGCCTAAAACAATAAATGCAAATATGTACAAACGTAAATGATCGAGTTCTTTAATTTTTAGCATATATTCAGTGTTGCAATTTAAAATTCTTTCCAGTTCGATTTATCTTCTATTTAGGCTTAGCCTGTTTAGATTCTTGTTTCTTCTTAAAAGTCTTTTAGCCTTTTTCTTTTACTTTTCATAAAATGCTAGCTATGAACATGTATATTAAATGAGATAAGGTATAAGATATGAAATAAAAAAGAAATATACAAATAGTTGCGTTCGATAACAAAATTAGCCAACACCAGCCAACAATCAAACTCAAGAGCGTTAGCGAAAATTCTCTCCCAAAGCAAACAAGTAAACGAACAGGAAATAAGAAATCACTTGCAAAAACCGGAAGGAGAAGACACACCAGCTGACTTTGTTTATATTTTGTTTGTAGACAAACTGAAATTCATGCTGCCTCCATGGAAGAAAAAAGGAAAGTGAACATTCAATGTTCGCCAGGAACATTTCTAGAAGTAAAAACTAGATGGCACTATCTGAAAGTGAACGTTCAATGTTCGCCAGGAACATTTCTAGAAGTAAAAACTAGTTGGCACTATCATAAAGTCACATAGCAGGCAGCCAAAAAGCATATAAATACCAAAAACCGAAAAATGCAATTTTTTTTGNCAATGTTCGCCAGGAACATTTCTAGAAGTAAAAACTAGTTGGCACTATCTAAAAGTCACATAGCAGGCAGCCAAAACGCATATAAATACCAAAAACCGAAAAATGCAATTTTGTTTGTTTACAAAAATTACAACCATATGTTTTGTGATCATATGTTTTCGTGTTCGATAATTTTTGCTGCATCAAAATGAACGCTTGCTCTCTCAATTTTTGTGTGTTGGATAATTTTTTGTCGTTATCGAACGCCATCCAGTAAAAATTTGGAAAAACTTTTACAAATTTTTGACTTGTCGAACACAACTAGAGTCATGATTTCGAGATTCCAGATCTCATTAAAATAATCTACACTTCTGATATGTATGTACATACATTCACATATTCAGATCCATCCGCATCAAAAAAGAAACCCCCGCTCAAAAGTTTCAGGGCTGGCTTCTCCAACTCAACTTAACTTGGTTTATCAAATTTTTTGGACTTAGTCAAGAATAAGCTGAATAAAAGGTAGGCTAACTTTTGGCTTAAGTCCAAAAAATGGCTAAACTAATTAAGTTGAGTTGGAGAAACCAGCCCTCAGACTCTGCATTCAAGTACACAGTGCGATGCAGAAGTACAAATATGCCGCACATGTTCTCCAAAAGTGTATTAACTCAAATTTTTAACAAAAAGAAACTTCTCTAGGGCTTCNTGAATAAAAGGTAGGCTAACTTTTGGCTTAAGTCCAAAAAATGGCTAAACCAATTAAGTTGAGTTGGAGAAACTCTGCATTCAAGTACACAGTGCGATGCAGAAGTACAAATATGCCGCACATGTTCTCCAAAAGTGTATTAACTCAAATTTTTAACATAAAGAAACCTCTCTAGGGCTTTGACTTTATGCCTGATAACACCGTTCACTGCATGCCTAGACTATCACTAATGACCTCGTTCACGGGTCATTTCTTCTCTTGGAAAGGAGGAAGTAATAAACTTCTACCAGGAAGGATGAGAATTAACGGAAGGATCGTTAGGCCAATGTTTTGTGCAGTGAGCTCTTCGTCAATCTAAAGTTGTGGTTTCCAGTAGTCGATTGTAGTAAGCATCTAGTCATGTACTGTGCGCTCAAAGCTAGTAGAGGAATGGCTAAGCTCTCCTTCAATTGCCTCTAATGTTTTCCTTACCAGAGTTATGTATACATAGTATGTATATCTGGGCAACGTGATATCGCCGGCAATTGCGCTGTGTATGAGTTGGCCAGGAAAGGCACCCTCAAGTTGGTCTCATCGAGAAAAGAGAAAGGGCGTGTTCCTTCTTGGCCTTACAAAGCCGCAACTCTCAATTCTGAGTGCATTGACTAGACACTGTCCGATTGGTATTCGCACGGTGAAACTAAATATCACACAGTACCGTAGCTGTTCAGATGATGTGAGGTGGACTTATCCCTACACTTTCTCTTAAGCTGCCAAGCTACTGCGAGGCTACGATCGAAACATCTTGAATCGTACTCTTTAACGCAAACAGCGTTTTCGTGTTACCCTAGCAGTTGTAGTTCGTAATGGTTACATAAAGGACCAATGCTTATGGTCGAAATGTGCCCCTGTTTGGGGCAACCACCTTAATCTAACCTTACCACACCTCATCAAGTAACTGATTATTGCTTCAGCTTTACCACACGTTTTGGTAATACTGAAATTTTGTATGTTAACCCTTAACCCCTGTCTCACAGACACCTTCAAATTTAAAGTCGTAAATATATTAGCGGGTGTGTATTGTACAAATACATGCACCTTTCCTATGCATAATTAAGTACCGCGTACTTGCTCGACAACATCATACGCGCGTGCGTTTGTAATTGGTAAGTAAAAAACTACCATTGACCGTCCCTGAGACGGGTGGTAGGCGGTTATGTGATTTTTTTTTAGTGAGTAGTGATTTTTATTCTTTTAGCGAAAAATGGCTTTTAATTACGCGCTTATCGAAAGGTGAATTCCAAGAAGAAGAATTTTCATATGTAGAATATTTGCCAAATCCGTGATGATGATGAATGCGGTGATGTTGAGTCAGATTTTGGACCACAGCAAATGCCGGAGGAAGGCTGTGAATCCGATTCTGAAATCTAGGGTGATGAAGAGCTGTCTGAACATGAAAATTCGAATATGCCACATCAGTCTCCAGTTTTACCTGAAGGTAGACAAACTTCATTGGAAGACGACTTACCATTATCAGAATTGAGATCGAATTTTAGGAAGAGGAATTATTTCGGTAAGAATCACTTTCGTTGGTCTACTGTCCCGCCGACCCAACGGTCGAGAACTTTGTCTCATAATATAGTGCAAGAAAGAGAGGGTATAAAGCCAGAATATCAGAATGAACTAAATTCCTCACCTAATGCATTGGAAATTGGACAGAAATTTTTTACAGACGCAATACTGAATAAAATTGTCATGCATACATATTAATAAAAAATTCAGGAAATTCGACCAAATTACAAAAAAGAAACCTGTGTTCAAGATTCGGATCTTATAGAACTCAAAGCTTTTATAGAGTTCCTATTTTATACTGCTGTTTTCAAAGAGAATCGTGAACACTACACGTCATGGTATAGCAGTGACGGTACGGGAAGAGAAATTTACCGTTGCATTATGAGCAAAAATAGATTCGAACTTAATAAAAAAAGTCGAAAATATTGCACAAAAGTTCTGAAAAGTCTTGAGAGTCGTGGATACTTCTAGTTTTAAGAAATTTCGATGGAATCTAGAATATCAAACAGAAACTCTAAAATTGTGCACAAAAGTTCTGAAAAGTCTTGAAAGTGAGTCATGAATCCATGTAGTTGAATGAAATTTGGTGGAAAAAAGGTTTTACGACCCGCCAGCTCTAGAAAATTAAACAGAAATTCGAACATTTTGCACAAAGGTTCTGAAAAGTTTTGAAAGTGAGTCATGGATACTTGTAGTTGTAAGAAATTTCGATGGCAAAGGGTTTTACTATCCGCCGACTCTAGAAAATCAAACAGAAAGTCGAAAACTTTGCACAAAAGTTCTGAAAAGTCTTAAAATTGAGTAATGGATTCTTGCAGTAGAACGAAATTTCGATGGCAAAGGGTTTTACTATCCGCCGACTCTAGAAAATCAAACAGAAAGTCGAAAACTTTGCACAAAAGTTCTGAAAAGTCTTGAAAGTGAGTCATGAATCCATGTAGTTGAATTCCAATTGGATGGAAAAAAGGTTTTACGACCCGCCAGCTCTAGAAAATTAAACAGAAATTCGAACATTTTGCACAAAGGTTCTGAAAAGTTTTGAAAGTGAGTCATGGATACTTGTAGTTGTAAGAAATTTCGATGACAAAGGGTTTTATTATCCGCCGACTCTAGAAAATCAAACAGAAAGTCGAAAATTTTGCACAAAAGTTCTGAAAAGTCTTAAAATTGAGTAATGGATTCTTGCAGTAGAACGAAATTTCGATGGCAAAAGGGTTTACTACCCGGCAACTCTAGAAAATCAGACAGAAGTGTTCAAGATTTGGATCTTATAAAACTCAAAGCTTTTATAGGGCTCCTATTTTGTACTGTTAATTTCAAAGAGAACCATGAACACTACACGTCATAGTATAGTAGTGACGGTACCGGAAGAGAAATTTACCGTTGCATTATGACCAAAAATAGAATCGAAGTCTTAATAAAAACTCTTCGTTTTGATGATGCAGGGACAAGAAAAGTTCGCAGAGAGAACGATTCCCTGCACCCATTTCCGAGCTCTTTAACTCTTTCATCAATGCCCAGCGTTTTTTTCATCGGCAGTAGAGCTGCAAAAGTATCGATATTCGCCGTACTCGATATTTTCGATATTTAAGAGACAAAAACTCGATATATATCGTTAATTTTTAGTTATACACTGAAAAACTGAAAAACTACTCATTCAAAAAATGAATAGAACCATTTACCAACAGAAAATTTTATTACATATATGAGGTACATATCTGTGTTTGTATGGAAAAGTAGCTTATGTCGAAGGGCTGGGTTTAGTATAAATCGGCATTCGCAGCATGCGATTGCGAATGACTCGCAGGCACTGAGCCGTTGAACAACGTTTGGCAAATAAACGTGCAAGAAATAGTTCCCATACTAACATGTCAATATTCTTATTAAGTCTCATCGAAAAATTTCTTCTGGTTTAAAGAATAAGTGGAATTCCGCATTATTCTAAAGCCAGTCATTCGACATAAGCTACTTTTCCATACGAACTAAGATATGTATGTATCACACAGTGATATTATCACAGTATTCGCAATGATTTTTCATTCTATATTCTTTTCGTTACTATTTTATAAAAGTATAGCGCAATCTCTAACAAAAGCCATATACACCTAAATTGCAAAATTTGTGCAAAAATTAGAAAGAAAAAATCAAAAA